CCTCAATTATGGCCACAATTTTATGGGATCAAAGAATTGTAATCACAAGTTATTGTAGGGATATTTAGATATCTAATCCCTGCACTCAAAAGCACCTGCCCATGAGGCGAGGAGCTTTTATTTATCTGGGTCACACTACAAGCACTAAAATCAGAAACTACCGGTAACCTGTAAATTATGCTTGAAACTGAGACCAGATTGCCACAGTCTGATTTCAGGTATTTTGATGTTAATTTAGAGCATGCTCTTACTCTGAATTTACATAGGTGGAAATCCAAACATAATGATGCCTTAATGTTTTATTAGACAGGGTTTAAAGCCTGTTTAGCAATGCATTTTAGCTTTGTACATTTTTTTTCTTTTTTATTGCTTGAGGGTTTGATGTCTTTATTGTACCAAGACGAGTGTTCCCTTCCAAAGGATAAGGATTCAAAAGATGCCTTTGGCGAGATAGCAGCTATCAAGATTCATTCAAAGCAGACAGTTGGGGAGTGGGTAGCATGTGAAAAATAAATAGTATAAAAATAAGTGACATAAGGCAGGATAATTCCATCTCTTTTTTTAACACATGTGTCTTATGTGTTCTCGCTCCCACTGTTTTTTTCCCCCTCTGTCTAGTGCTTGTTAAATTTTGACTAGCACAGTTGTAGCAGGGCAGCCGAACATGCTGTGCAGCCCAGCTGAGACAAATGTGGTAGAAACTGTTTCACATAAATGGTGTTCACTTGCTTAGTTAATCTGCTGTAACAGCCCTGAAATGAAGAAAAAGCTATTCTTCCTGACACGTCTCACTTCATGGCTAACCTGTTGCCCCACTCTCTTCACCCTTCCATAAAAACCTCCCACAAGAAAAACATAAGTCGCCTCCAGAAATTTCAGAGGAGGCCAGAGCTACTCGAAAAAAGAACAAAAAACAAAAAAACCATTTTGTAAATGTATTCATAAGTAAGTGCCTAGTTTATTTCATTATGGCTTTGGGGCAGCCGTAGTATTAATTTTTCCAAAATCTTTGGGCAAAGTGGAGATATTGCTAGACATGCTTGAGAATTCCAAAACATGTCCCACTGTGAAGCACGATGTATTATTCCTCAGACAACTCACATTCGAAGTAAGAAATTTTTCCCCTCTCACCTTTGTCTGCCTTCTCCAATTAAAGCTCTTTGCAGAAGGGCCTGTCTATGGCCATGTCTAGACTGCACTGCTTTTTTGGGGATACTGGAGGTATCCCAAAAAAGCAATGCCACATCCCAGGAACACATCCGCTTTTTTAAAAAATAATTGAAAAAGCGGATGTGCTCTTTCACCATCACAGTAAACCTCATTCTATGAGGAATAAGAGATGTATCAAAAGAACACTTTGTTTCAAAATCTGGCACTATGTAGACATGCCACATTTCAAAAGAGCCTCTTTCAAAAATAAATCCGAAAAAGATATGCAATTTGCATACCGCAAATTGCGTATCTTTTTCCCATTTAACATTGCAGTGTAGACCTAGCCTATATGTTTGTACTCCAGTTATGCCTAGATCTTTGGCTGTGGTAGGCACTGTACAAGGAAGCACATTATGTTCACTCAAAAACAGTGAGAAGTCCTGTGGTATCTTAAAGACTAACAGATTTATTTGGGCATACATTTTTGTGGACAAAGACCACTTCATCAGATGCATTGAATGAAGTGTTTTTTACCCACAAAAACGTATGCCCTGCTAGTCTTTAAAGTTCCACAGGATTCCTCATTATTTTTGCAGATAGACTAACATCGTTATCCCTATGAGAATTAGGGCATGTCTACACAGCAGGGCTAAAATCCAAATAAGCTACACAACTTCAGCTATGTCAGTTGCATAGCTTAAGTCGAAATAGCTTATTTTGGCTTTTGGCGCTGTCTATACAGCAGGAAGTCTGACAAAGAGCACTCTTCCTTCGACTTACCTTATTCCTCGTACAATGAGGGTTACAGGACTCCAAGTAAGAAATCCTCCAGCTCGACATTATTTTGATATTATGTCGAAATAACTGCTTGTAGTATAGAGGCAGACTATGTTATTTCGGAATAACATTAGTTATTCCAAAATAACACTGCTGTGTAGACGTACCCTTATTGTTCAACATGCTAAGGAAAGAATAGGTGACCCAGTGGCGGATGGGGTAGAAGGTCTCTTTTACTGCAGATACTCAATTCGCTAGGACCTCCAAAGCCCTGGTCCACATGAACCACACATTAACCAGAGATTCGCCTTTTTATCTCAGTTAGTATGTAAATACACTTAAATCCTAATTTAGTAATGTGAGTACCCATATAATGTATAATCATAACACATGCATCTGACGAAGTGGGTCTTTGCCCACGAAAGCTTATGCTCCTACACTTCAGTTAGTCTATAAGGTGCCACAGGACTCCTCGTCGCTTTTGCAGATTCAGACTAACACGGCTACCCCTCTGAATCATAACCATGTTCACTGTTTACAGCTTTTTAGATGAATCATGCAGTTTCAGGGGGAAGGAGCCATGACCCTGAATACATCCAGGCTACGTCTACACTGGCCCCTTTTCCGGAAGGGGCATGTAAATTTCAGCAGTCGTCGTAGGGAAATCCGCGGGGGATATTTAAACCCCCCGCGGATTTCCCTACGACGACTGCTGAAATTTACATGCCCCTTCCGGAAAAGGGGCCAGTGTAGACGTAGCCTGGATGTATTTGGGAAGGGGCATGTAAATTTCAGCAGTCGTCGTAGGGAAATCCGCGGGGGATATTTAAACCCCCCGCGGATTTCCCTACGACGACTGCTGAAATTTACATGCCCCTTCCGGAAAAGGGGCCAGTGTAGACGTAGCCTGGATGTATTTGGGAAGGGGCATGTAAATTTCAGCAGTCGTCGTAGGGAAATCCGCGGGGGATATTTAAACCCCCCGCGGATTTCCCTACGACGACTGCTGAAATTTACATGCCCCTTCCGGAAAAGGGGCCAGTGTAGACGTAGCCTGGATGTATTTGGGAAGGGGAAGGGACGGGGGAAGATAACTCTTCTTTTACACACAGGGTGCATCTAGACTGGCAAGATTTTGCACAAAAGTGGCTGCTTTTGCAAAAAATCTTGCCAGCTGTCTACACTGGCCGCTTGAATTTGTGCAAGAGCACTGACTTTGTACAAAATCAGTGCTTCTTGCGCAAATACTTTCACGCTTCCGCTCAGGAAAAAGCCCTCTTGTGCAAGAACACATAGTAAGAGATGGTCCCTGTCCCAAACTGTGTGTAGTCTAACAGTCAAAAAGCAGGAGGAAAAACAGAGGCACCAAGAGGTGAAGTGACTTGAAGAACGTCACCAAACAAGTCAGTTGCAAGGTAGAAGAAGAACACAGGTCTCCTGATTCCCAGACCAGTGCCTTACCCCCACCCTGAGTAGCTCATTAGAAAGTTGCATTCCTCGTACAACTGCACACAGAAAGGGAGAGGGTAGCAAACTTTATCAAGCAGAAGAAATCGTGATGCCTTTGCCATTCTTCCCTATACCATGGCAACAGTTACCCAGGTTGTTATTTAACACTTAATACTCCAACAAAAATGTATCAGTCATCCAATCAGCGAGGAAAGGAGCGTAGTGCATCCTTTGGCACAATTTAAATGGAATTAAAGAGGTCACCAGCAGCCTAGTGTCTGGAGAATTAGTTACCTATCATTGACGGCTCACTCCTCACCAAATACATCGGAAGAAAATCATAGTTCCACTCATACACAAACACACAAAAAGTAGGGGAAGGAAGATAAAGTCCTAACATGCATTCCATGTAAAAGTTTGGTGGGTTGATATAGAAAGAATTTATTGGTCAATTCCTGCCTGAATCTCTGGCCCTAGATACTGAGGGTACAGGAATGGCAGGGTGATGCCCGCTTGTGCAGCCGCATGGATCTCTCCTCTGTTGTGTAGGCTTCACGGCAGAGATGGGATTGAACCCTGTGATGGCCAAGAGCGGCAGCTGGAGACATGCAATGGCAGGGAACGAACGGTACCTTTTCAGGTCCAAAAAGTGCAGCTGTTTGCTGGTGTTAGCCATGTGTTTTTACATAAGAACAGCCAGACCAAAGGTCCCTCTAGCTCAGTATCCTGTCTTCTGAGAGTGGCCAATGCCAGAGGGAATGAACAGGACAGGGAATCATCAAGTGATCCCTCCGTCACCCATTCCCTGCTTCTGACAAACAGAGGCTAGGGACAGCATTCCTACCACCCTGGCCAATGGCCATTGATGGACCTTGCCTCCATGAATTGATCTAGTTCTTTTTGGAACCCTGTTAAAGTCAGAAAGTTACATGAATTAGCCAATACCACATGACAATAGTATTTCTTTTACCTGTTAATATCACCACACACACAGGAGGGGCTAGATTCTACCATTTTTGCCTATCTGAAAGAGTATTCTCCTCTGGGGCTAATTCCACTCGAGTCACTGAGACTTTGCATGGACCGACATACTCATCAGTGTGAGTAAATGTAGCCAATTCTGGTGAATACCCACAGTGCCGTTGTGAACTAGGGAGAGTCAGAACAATGATAACATTGCTTTTAGCTTTTTACTCATTTTCAGCGCTTGGAAGAACCACTCATTTTCCAGTAATCCCAAGAAAGGTCAAAGAGAGCTTACATCTGTATCGACTACAAGTAGCATTAGCTCCAATTTCCTGGTGAGTTAACTGGAACACATAGAAGTGAAGCATCATATTCAAAGCTCACTGATGCCAGTAGGAATTTATCTAGTGAATTCAATAGCTTTTTGGATAAGGCCCTAATTGATCTACCAAAGGCCAAATATGGGGAATTCGTGGCAGGGCTTGGGGTAGAACTCTTCAGGAATACCAGTAGCTCAGACTGTTAATCCTAATTGAGAATGTTTTCAAGAAAGAACTCTAGTGGCGTAAATTAATTTTCTAGCAGAGCAGAATGACTCTCTTGCTATTGTCCAATATCTTTACACCAACAGAACATTTTGGTCTTTTTTTTTTAAGTGACCTGGCTTACCTTTGAACGTTGGCCTTCCAACCACACTACCATCTCTGCTGCTTTCCAGAACTCTGGCCACATGCAGGTAATTTCTGTGTCCTTAAAATATCCTTGAGCCAGAAAATAAATCCCCCTGCTGTGGGCTGCATTTCCACCGTTACAGCCAAAAGCTCTTTGCAAACCAAACATGCTAGCTGCCATTCCTTCACATTTGTAACATTTAACTGTAATGCTGCTGCCCCTGAGGAGCTGCGGAATAGCATTTCAATTTGCCATCCCTGGATTTGTCCTAAAGAACTGGAGACATGTCAGCTTATCAGTCTGTGACCTTTTCTATTAACATTGTCTTCAGGTTGGCTTGGCAGCACGCAAGGAAAACAAATCGTCTTACCCGGAGCAGGTCTAGCTGGCCAGGATAATGCAGCTCTGGCACAAATCTGTTAAATTTTTAAATTGAGAACATTGCTATGGCTACATAAAATATATTAGATATAAGGATCCCTGAGGGGCAAGAGGAGAAGCCAACAAAATTGAAACCATTACAATGGATCTAAAGGAGGAGGGATTCTTGTAAAGCTTGTGAAAGTACATTGTGTAGCTTGTTTACACTGGCCTGATACTCTGGAGATAATGCAAATGGAGTCACCACATAAATTATGTGACCTTTTCATGGTGCAGTCTTCTGGAGATCTCAATGGAAATATTGTTTTTCAAAACAAAATTGTTTCTCATCCTCTCCCTGACTTTCCTAAGTTCTCTCACTCTAGTGACTATTTGATGGAGGAGGGGAGTCATTATTACCTAAAGTCTTACTGTCATGAGACGGTGCAGTCAAGGCAACACAACGGCAGCTTCTTCCTTGTATGTTCTGAGGCATCCCAGCAGAGAGCATTGAGGAGCCTGTCTTTCCCAGAATGCTCTTCGTTATAATGTCACACCAGGTCTAAAAGGGAGAGGGAAGGTGGCCACCGTGTTTGGTGGTAGGGAGATTATAATGGGATGTCTTTACATAAGTTTAGTGAAAACAAGGTGCCCAAAGCCTTGGACTCAGAGTTTGAGAAGATGGGTTCTAGTCCTGACTGTGCCACTGTGTAATCTTGAGCTAGTTTGTTCTCTCTCCAGCTAGATCAGGAGTTCCCTATATGTACAGTGTGTAGAACGTTGGGTCAGTTGAGTCTTACAAGTGCTAGCATAATATGTTATATATATAAATGCCTGTCAAAGGTGTTGTGATTGACAACCTTGTAGATAAACCCTCTGTTTATTCTGCACTCTGGGCCTACGTCTACATTGCAGGCTTCTTGAGCAAGAAGCTTTTTGCGGAAGAGATCTTTCACAAAAACGTCTGCGCAAGAGTGCGTCTGCACTGCAAAAGCACATTTGAAAAGCGATGAGCTTTTGCATAAGAGAGCGTCTAGACTGCATGGATGCTCTCTCACAAAAAAGCTCTGATTGCCCTTAACCGAATGGCCACCAGGGCACCTGTGCTTCTTTCTAGAGGCTGTTTTTGCGCAAAAAAACCCTGATTCCTGTCCACACACCTTTTTGTGCAAGAGCTCTTGTGCAAAAAGGAGTTATTAATTGTAGAAAGAGGAATACCTATACCACAAAACCCCTCTGTTCTGTTGATTCACTGTAAATTTTCTTGTGCAAAAAAGTGCTCGAAGTGTGGAAGCTCTGTGAGTTTTTGCGCAAAAACTCTGCAGTGTAGACATAGCATGGGAGCAATGCCAGTAGAAACATCTGCTTCCCCATGGTGGCTATCTTGGAAACATGCTTCTCCCCCATGACTTGGAGGCACAGTCTACATGTCTAAATGTAGATCAGTCTCCTTGGCCCTGAAACTGCCCACCAAGTTGTCAATTGAGTTTTTCTGCTTAGATATTTGGACACTGGCAACTGACCTGAAAACTGACAAACTTGTTTATTTTTTCTCTCTACAGACTTTATACAGAAGCCTTTCCTTGTGCAACTTATGGTATAGTCTAAATGGTGACCAAGAAATAAAAGCCTTTATCCTATTTCTAGTCCCATTGCTGAAGCGCTCTGTGAAAACACATCATGAATATTAATAGTCGTCATTGCAAGGGACTGCATTGTATGAACATATCTAGGAAACATTGCTTCAGCTTTGCAGATATACACCCCTGAAGTTCCTATTTATCCATCCAGCTCCTTTGAAGCAGGGCAGCATCAAAGCTGAGCAGCGATAATTCTCTGCTGTCTTTCCCACAGTGTTCTGACCCACTTTTTTGGTTTCTATGACGTCCCTGATTCAAGGAGCAGAGCGACATGGAATCCCCTCATCTCAGCTCTTTGTTGCCTTCTTGTTCATTTTTCTGAGTATGCAGTTACCTCAGGGCCTACTCTGCACAATGGTGCATCATAAGTTCATTTCTGAGTGATGCCATTCTACAGTTATTAATAGCACAGTGGTTTTGGTTGAGAGGGGCTTATGCAACCCCTCCTCCTTTTTCCTGTCTTGCTTCATGGGGATTTATAAAGCCAAAATACAGTGAGTTTCATCTGGTTTTAAATAAACCTCAGGCACATCACCTGACAACAATCAACACAAAGTGGAACCATAATAATTAAACTAGTGTTAACCCCTCACGTCTAGATATTTCAGTGCAGGTCTGCATTTGACCAGTGGGAATCAGAGTAATAATACAACCAGGTGCTTTTATTACAGAAATAAGCCAACACATAGACCCTTGCACTGACTAAAGGTACACATTACCAATAGGACTGGTTGGAAAATGTTTATTTTTCCTATGAAGAATTTCAGTTTTTTTGGGAAAAACAACAACAAATGAATACCAGAATTAAAACCAGCTGTAAGGGTGCCGAGAGAAAATCTTGGTCCCAGAAATAAAAGAATTCTATGAGTCTGAATACTGTAATTTGCTCATTCGGTTCAATCAGAACAGGATAGGTCTTCCAGGGTAGGTCTATGTAGTGTTTTGTAGCGAGCAAAAGAAAGTCTCCCAACCCAGGCTAGCAGACTTGGGTTAGGGCTCACGCTAGTGCTCTGAAAAGAGCCAGACCAGCTATTCTTTGAAGTAGCATCTCAGGCTCTGAAGTTCCAGGAACATGCTGGGCTTCAGAGACCAAGCTTCAGTTCAAGAATCAACTTCAAACCCCTATTGACACTGCTATGTTTTAGAGCAGTCCTGAGAGCCTGAGATTCACAGAATGCGAGTTCCGGAAAGTGCTATGATCGAAAATAATTTCAGAAATTCCTACCCAGCCACAGCAGCTATGCTCCATGTGAAGGTTCTAAGTCAAGCTGTGTGGATGAAGCACAATATAAAATGTATATTTGGCACACTTAGCCTCACTTCCTCTAGGATGTGTCTAGACTGGCAAGTTTTTCCGCAAAATCATCTGCTTTTGCAGAAAAACTTGCCAGTTGTCTTCACTGGCAGCTTGAATTTCCGGAAAAGCACTGACGATCTCATGTAAGATTGTCAGTGCTTTTCCGGAAATACTATGCTGCTCCTGTTTGGGCACAAGTCTTTTTCCAAAAGACTTTTGCGCAAAAGGGCCAGTGTAGATAGCACAGTACTGTTTTCTGCAAAAAAGCCCCGATCGCGAAAATGGTGATCGGGGCTTTTTTGCGGAAAAGTGAGTCTAGATTGGCCACGGACGCTTTTCCTCAAAAAGTGCTTTTGCCGAAAAGCATCCTGTCAATATAGACGTGCTTTTCCGAAAGTGCTTTTAATGGAAACTTTTCCGTTAAAAGCATTTTTGGAAAATCATGCCAGTGTAGACGTAGTCCTAGTGTATTCATCTTTCACATGTATTAGAAACTGCCATTGCAATTATTTTTATCCTATGGAACTATCCTGCCTGAAATTTGATGCTTATCACATGGATTAATCAGAGGCAACGGAAAGTGTTCTGTTCTGTTCCATAATTGGCTCATTCAAAAGACTGCTCAGAGCCAGCTGGTTTAGACCTAACTAACGGAGAAGAAAATGACATTAGACCAGCAATTCCTCCTCATGAAGCCACGTAAGTGTTCCTGGGATGTCTCCCATCCAAGTATTGATCAGATCTGATAATAGGTGAGATGGGCCAGTGTCACAAGTTAGAATTTTCAGAGTCCCTGCATGACGAAGTAGCTGAGGCCTCATTTTCAATAGTCAAATAGCTACTTTAGATTATGTTTTCAATAGAACTGGAGACTTCAGCTCCCAAGTCACATTGCAAATCACTAGGATCCATGCTTGGTTTTTTTTTTGTTTTTTTTTTTTGGTCATTTAGGGCCTTTTGACAATATTGTGCAGAAATTCAGTTCTGCCTCTGAATTTTTAACCCTGAGGAATTGAGGGACTTTGATCGGATGTTTTGGTTCCGACCCACAACTATATAAGACAATTCCAGAATTGTCAAGCTGTGTGTCACTCTCAAGTCTGTTGACTCAACATGAAGTGATGGAAATAGACACAAGCTCTTTTGTTGAGATGTCACCAGGTTCAATCAGCCTTGAGATTTGTGCTCTGTCACCATCAGATTTGTAAATTCTCAGCCATTTTTGTTTTTTTAATGTCTCTGTGGCAGACGGCATTTACTTATATATGGTTATAACACCAAGATCTTGAGAAATGACTAATGATTTAGGGAGGGTCTAACGTTAAGGTGTCCGATTCGAGACACTTGAAAGGGATCTGGTTTTAAAAAGGGCCGAGTACTGAGTGAAAAGAATAGGCCTCATTTAGGCCTGGTATATACTCGGCCAAGAAGGTTGGATTAAGGTGTGCAACTCCAGCTATGCAAAACACAGAATGAGGAGTACTGGATACCAGTGGGAGTTTGATTTAAGGATCCACATTAGACCTGCTAAATAGAACGCTAGAAGATCGACCTCTGCAGGGTCGATCTTCTCTGTAGTGTAGACAGGCCCTTTAGTGAGCATCAGTTCTGCAATGTGGCCAACTCTATCACAATTTTTTCATATATTTGGCTTTGTTTCCTACAACTCAGCTCCTGGAGTAACGTGATGACTGGAGAATCTCAGCTTCTATTTATAAAAACATAAGTTTCTAGACCTCAAAGATGTGGAGAAAAGCTTGAAATCATCATCAGCCTCAAAATCCAAAGGACAACAAAAAGGACCCCAAATTAAAATAAAATCATGGGGTTTGTGGGAGTCCTGACTTATGGTTTTGAACACTTGGGGTTGGCAATGGTGAATTTAGTCCCCCCGATACTGAATTTACCTCCTCCCCATCACTTTCACTTTTGAAAAGCTTGGTCAATAGCCAAGAATTGGAATGTCCTGTCAGGATAGTGCCCATTCCATACTATGCTGACAGGTTATTTAAGCTCAGAAGGAGTCAAACAGACATTTCTTTGGAAAAGCAGACATTTAAAAAACATGTCAAACTGTGGGTTAACCGACTGACTGCCCATTGGGTTTTCATTAAATAATTCATTGATTTATACCCTTCTTGACAATACCAGGAATAGTTCCATTTTTCAGCAAGAAGGCAGCTGTGTTAATCGTCAAGTCGGACAAAGGGCACCTCCAATATTTTGAGCCGAGCTCACCTAGAGTATGTCTACACTACAATGTTAGTTCGAACTAACGCATCTAGAACTAAAAACTAGTTCGAACTAGCGTTTTGCTAGTTCGAACTAGTTTTTAGTTCTAGATGCGTTAGTTCGAACTAACGCATCTAGAACTAAAAACTAGTTCGAACTAGCGTTTTGCTAGTTCGAACTAGTTTTTAGTTCTAGATGCGTTAGTTCGAACTAACGCATCTAGAACTAAAAACTAGTTCGAACTAGCGTTTTGCTAGTTCGAACTAGTTTTTAGTTCTAGATGCGTTAGTTCGAACTAACGCATCTAGAACTAAAAACTAGTTCGAACTAGCGTTTTGCTAGTTCGAACTAGTTTTTAGTTCTAGATGCGTTAGTTCGAACTAACGCATCTAGAACTAAAAACTAGTTCGAACTAGCGTTTTGCTAGTTCGAACTAGTTTTTAGTTCTAGATGCGTTAGTTCGAACTAACGCATCTAGAACTAAAAACTAGTTCGAACTAGCGTTTTGCTAGTTCGAACTAGTTTTTAGTTCTAGATGCGTTAGTTCGAACTAACGCATCTAGAACTAAAAACTAGTTCGAACTAGCGTTTTGCTAGTTCGAACTAGTTTTTAGTTCTAGATGCGTTAGTTCGAACTAGCTTAGTTCGAATTAACTAATTCGAACTAAGTTAGTTCGAATTAGCGCTGTAGTGTAGACGTACCCCCAGCGGTTGGTGCTTTGGGTTTATCATTACAGCTTTTCTTCTTGCACATGGTGTGGAATTTGAGCAGTTGCTAATGTGCATGGAAACGGATGTCAGTACAGGGACAAATTTCTGCTTTACATAGCTCATGACCTTCATTACTTTCCTCTCCCTTTGCATATTTAGTACCAGCTTCATCTCTGTCCTTGTGAGAGCTGCCACTAATCATCTGACACATTTAGCTGCTTTTTCTGCTTATGGAATAACTGCAAATACAGTGTGATTTCCTGAAATGTATTAAATAAAGTTAAAATGTCCCCACGGGCAAAGGCCTGGCAAAAGGCCTCTGCAGTATATATATTCCTATGCTTAAGTGGGAATTATACATTCTGCACTGGTCCTTGCTGAGAGGCAAATTATTTTCTCTATTAAAGTTTTCCACAAGTGTTTTTGCCTTTTTTTTAAAGTTTATGTTCTAGTTAGAAACAGTTCTTCTTGCGAGTAACCAACAGCAACATTCTGTCAGCTAGTTGTGACTGTTCAGTTCACTCACACATTATTGTTTCTTTCCCCTAATTGGAGGAGTTTTGAGGCACTTCCAACAGAAATACTTGGATACATGTGAATGACAAGCTTGGTTTCCATGAATATAACCACCTATGATTTGTAAACAAGTACAGGCAGTCCCCGGGTTACGTACAAGATAGGGACTGTAGGTTTGTTCTTAAGTTGAATCTGTATGTAAGTCGGAACTGGCATCCAGATTCAGCCGCTGCTGAAACTGACCGCCAGTCATAGAATCATAGAATCATAGGACTGGAAGGGACCTCGAGAGGTCATCGAGTCCAGCCCCCCGCCCTCAAGGCAGGATCAAGCTCCGTCTACACCATCCCTGACAGATGTC